TCCTAAACCAATGTACGTGCTCTTCATAATCATCATTCATAATTATGATGTCGTCCAAATAACCGAACACCACTGGTTCGAATTCTGGACCAAAAAGGGCGTTTATCAAAGGCTGAAAAGTCATAGGGGCATTTGTGAAACCGAATGGCATGCGCTTTAATTGAAATAAGCCTTACCCTGGGACAGAAAACGCTGTAAATTGTTTACTAGACTCTACCATGGATACCTGATGGTACGCCATTTTTAGGTCTATTTTAGAAATATAACGGGCCTTTCTTGATTTGTCCAAAACACAGTTAATACTGGATATAGGGTACACATCTTTCATGGTCACACAATTTAGGTCTCTAAAATAAAAACACAGTCTCAAGGACCCATCCCCCTTTTTTCACTATCACTGGTGCAGTGCTCTATTCACTCGAAGCCCTCTCAATTATACCCTGCTCTAATAGCTTCTTAATCTCTTGGATGAGCAACTGCAGCATCATAGGGGACATTCTACGGGGTCAGTGTTTAATGGGGGTGGAATCGGTCAAGGCAATACTATGCTAGGTAAGAGGGTGATCATGCCATGCTCTTGTCCCTGGGGTAAAACTAATTCGTCGACAAGTTGTTGTATTTCTTGCCGCTACACAGTAGCTAATACTTTAGCTCGTAAATGCCAGCGCATTCGGCAAAAACAAGTCCTTCGCTTAATTCGCCAGGCCCATTAGCAAACTCGTGCCAATCCTGGCCACTTATCCCCACTCGACTCAGTCCTATGTACCTCTACTGTCACTATCTCACCTGCTACGCTTGGTCTCTCTACACTGTCTCGTCCTGCGACGAATAACACATGCGTTGCACGCGAAAGAAAGTTTCTTGACTTTGCGGGACTATTGCTTCGGGTTTAGAAACTGGTGGGCATAATATTATGCATAATATTATTCCTTGGAGTGGGGCAATTTGGGTCGACGGCGGTACACCACTCATTACGGCGGGGGCCTCGAAGGTCCTTGTTGCGAAGCAAGTACAGGAATTTGTCTTTGCTCCGTATAACGTGACTGTGGGAACCCGGTTGGCGCCGTGATAGCATTTAATTCATCCTCTTGAATCGCTTTCTTTTTCGTGGGTTTTTCTCCTTTTTCTTCTTCTTTACTAATTTACATCTTTCCTCAATGGCCTCGTCCACTGTCTCTGATGGCGAACGTAACGCCTATTATCGGCCCACGGTAAACGATTCGTAACATTTCATAATCTGTCATAGGGTTACGAAAATGTTGAGCGATCAAACGTAAGATCAACAGATATTCCGATATTTTTTCACCCTTGGCCTGAGTACGGGCCTTTAATTCATCATAAACGTCTTCATCGTCCACGGTCTCTAACGGCTCTTTACAGTCGTTTATTCGGTCCCAAAATTCCTCAGGAAATGAATGTCCCAATCTTTCAATAACTTCACTAATCTAAATCCTAATCCCGTGTTATTGCCTATATGGGGGCGATATTAGATCGGGTTTGCCTCGCTCTCTACACTCGATATTGAATCATAAGTATTAAAATCCATTTTTGATCCCGCATTAATATGCGAATCGAATTTTGTCAGAAGGCCTGGATAGGACCACGAATGCACTCTGTCCTCTAGAGCAGGACGTTCCGGGTATTGTAGGTGCTGGTCACTATATAACTCTGACTATTAATAATTTTAGGTAATGCTCCTCTAGACAACAGTAGTGGGGTAACATTGGGTCTATAATTCACTTCGTTGGAATCACGGTTTACCCCAGGGCGCGAAAATGGATGTACTGTCTGATCACGAGTCTCATTTTCCAACAACGAATTATTTTGAATGATACTGGGCGTTTGGACTGGTGTAAAAGACATACGGGTCGCATTTGAACTCAATCCCCAAGAGCTTGACACGGCATAAGGCAATGAAATTCCAGTACTAGGTACTGACCAAATGGTATTTGTCACACCCAACGTATAACTTCCACTTGCCATTGTAGTAACAGGTAACGACGTAGATGGTGCGGAAACGGTGACTGACGCCGCTCCGCGCAAACTTACGCGAGCGAGATTTCCTATATCCAAATTTGGATACAAATGCTCGCTACTAGGCATTTCAATTACTGTGGTATTTGCCACTGCATTATCACGAATCTCGTCCGTACTACCATCGAGATTAATAATATCATCGGTCTCTAAACCAATTGCCTCGCCGAAAGCTTCTATGGGAAATATCTGTACAAAATCCCCCGCATCGTATACCGGGTTCAACGGAATCGAAACTACTTTCCCAAATAATATTCTACCACGCATACGCAGTAACCGCTCTTTAACAATCTGAACTGATCCGCGGGTACTGACACTAGCCACTACATCTTCCTGTGTTATAGATTCAATTTGTTGCCAGATCGGCGTAATGGACTCGTGATCCATGGCCACGCAAGATAGGTCTCTAACTCTTTTTGACAGGTCTGAAATTTCGCTTAGCATCAACTAGGTTCATTTAAACCTTATTTTCACAAGGGCACCAATAAAAAAATTACTGGTCAATAGGGGAGGAAAAATAGTTTTAAATTATTTTGGTAAAAAAGATAATCGCTTAAGTCACAAATTGATCATTTCGGTCTCAATATTGGTCACTTTTGTCTCAACAAGAATTATAATATAGACAAATTATTTTACACACCATAAATTATTCTTAACAAATTCCTCTAGTCACAAACAAAAACGTCACAAACGACAGGGACAGAACTCTCTTTTACCATAGCACTCGCAAAAAATATATTCTTAGTCTCTAATAATTACAAGTAACGATTCACTTCGTTACACCGGTAAAAAGTTTAAAAATTACCGGTAAATTTTGAAGAGGGTATTTGTTAATTTACAGGTCAGCACAATTTGATTGCCAGGCAGTTTTGGCTTGGCTGGCTTAAGCAGTATCAATGACTAGTAATCACTAGTAAATTGACTGAGGAAAACTATAAACGCAACTGGAAATCCAAGTTAAAACGGCCTGGCTCTCCGGTTATAACTACTTGACTTCATAAAATTAGCATGACGACTCAAGAGAAAGCAGTTACAACTTTTTTTCTGTCCGTGTTACGCAATTAATGACCATCTTTTAGAACATCACATTGGAAATGCTACTTTGACTTTCATAAATCTGACATTATAATCTTAACCAGCGACCCTGAAAACCCATGAGTAACTTGTTTCAATCAAATTCAGAAACTTTTTTAAAATATGGACGCCATATTGGATCAGTCATTTTGAATTTTAAACATCTGACATCAATTTAGTAATCAGCGACCCGAGAACCAACAAATAGCATGTTTCAATCTGATAGGTTGGGTCGATGGACAAATTGTAGTTGCTTATGCAGCTTCTCAAAAAAAAGTACTGTCCAGAAAATGTCACATACATTCCAACTGACAATACGATAACTGCTTTAGGGGATTTTACGAATAAACGAAGGGGCACTATTCACTCATTTTATAAAATTGAAAAAGAATTGAATGATTTTATCTTAATGTCTTACGTTTATGAAACCACAATTTTAATTGATCCATACGAAAAGAGTACTAATGATAAAAGAGTATTAAAAGCTTTTAATGATTTTATAGAAGTAAGCGAAGCAAATTCTGCAAACTGAAGATGACAAAGCTAATTTTGGAGTGTACATAATGTATTAAATGGATGCGATTGCAACAAACAAAGAAATGGAAAAAAAATTAATTCTATTGCAATTATAAATCTTGTTACAAATAACTTACTATATAATGCAGACGATAGAGCATAATTTTGTGCGTATTGTGAGTTTAAAGTTACAGAAAAAATGTACAATATTTGAAAAATGTTACACGAAAATTCATAAACAATGCCTCTATAAAGGAGAAATTAAGTCAGATGATGAGGAAAATACATCACATCGGTCATTAAAAAGAATAAACAATGATGTTTTATATAACTATAAATGTAAGTTGTGTAGATGTAGAAAAGAAGACAGTATAGAAATGGAAGATCAAATCGAACAATAAATAAATTTTGTGTTATAAGTAAATTAAATATAAGTAGTATAGCTATAGGGGTACTGCTCCAGGTTCTGATCTCGGCTAAGTACCCTCGGTCGGTAATGCAGATTCCTACATTATCAGTGGTTGGTAGGGTGTGCTCTACCTTACCGACCGAGTTAGTTCCGGCTGCCACCGCTAGATGGCGCCACTTGCAAATTCCAAACCCCTTGGCGGGAAATTTAAAAATTTAATTTCAAACTTTCAAGTGGCTTAGAAGGGGTTCTCTGTTTTACCGACCGATTTTTTTAGTTCCGGCTGCCGCCGATAGATGGCGCCACTAAATTTTAATTAATGATTAATACATTTCTGTTTGTTTAAAAAATTTCAATTGTAAATATTTGTTTATTATATAGAAAAAATATTAATTGTAAATATTTATTTATTATATAAAAAATTATTGCTTAAAAAATATTAATTATAAATTGTTTATTATTAATATTTATTTAAAAACTATTTATTTAATTAAGGTAAGTTTAGTTAATTTATTTATTTATTTATTTATTATATTAATTTACTGTAAATAAACTAACTTTCATGTTTATTAATATTATTAACAATATTTGATTAATTATAAATAATTTATTAATAAAGGTAAGTAAAATTATTACTCAAAATTATAATAAGCGTTTCAAATTCAAATTGAATATATGTTTTGTACTTTCCTCTTTTTTCTGCTACTTTAATATATGGCGCGAATTTTAAACTTTTATATTAATTTGCGTGTTAATTTTATTTAAATATATATTTATATGTGTACAAAAGTATTTTTTATTATGTAAAAGTATTTTAAAATCATTTCTCTATGTATTAATTTAAAAAGACTTGAGTATTGAAGCCTTTAAATAAAATATATGAAAATTGTTGAAAATGTGGGGAATCATTCTACAGTGTCACTCCTGAGCCGCCATATTTACACTTAACACAACCTATACCACAAACGCCGTGTCCATCGAAACGTGTTCAACAATTGTAATTTATGGTAATAAAAAATTAATACACATTATAAATATATTGCTTTTCAATATATCTTATTAATAAAACCATTCATTACAAATTAACTGTATCATTTTTTTTACAGAATTCAGATAAGAATATAATCGCATATTGTGCTTGCTTGGATAATAATTGTCAATTTAGACAAGCACAAATGGAATATAGACGGCAGGTAATCTGAAAAATATTTAATTTTCATTGTTTATTTTCTCTTGTCCAAATTGTGTTTTTACCAGTGTGTGTTTATTTTCTCTTGTCCAAATTGTGTTTTTACCAGTGTGTGTTTATTTTTTTTGTCAAAATTGTGTTTTTACCGGTGTGTGTTTATTTTCTCTTGTCCAAATTGTATTTTTACCAGTGTGTGTTTATTTTTTTTGTCAAAATTGTGTTTTTACCGGTGTGTGTTTATTTTCTCTTGTCCAAATTGTGTTTTTACCAGTGTGTGTTTATTTTTTTTGTCAAAATTGTGTTTTTACCGGTGTGTGTTTATTTTCTCTTGTCCAAATTGTGTTTTTACCAGTGTGTGTTTATTTTCTCTTGTCCAAATTGTGTTTTTACCAGTGTATGTTTATTTTCTCTTGTCCAAATTGTGTTTTTACCAGTGTGTGTTTATTTTTTTTGTCAAAATTGTGTTTTTACCAGTGTGTGTTTATTTTCTCTTGTCAAAATTGTGTTTTTACCAGTGTGTGTTTATTTTTTTTTGTCAAAATTGTGTTTTTACCGGTGTGTGTTTATTTTCTCTTGTCCAAATTGTGTTTTTACCAGTGTGTGTTTATTTTCTCTTGTCCAAATTGTGTTTTTACCAGTGTGTGTTTATTTTCTCTTGTCCAAATTGTGTTTTTACCAGTGTGTGTTTATTTTTTTTGTCAAAATTGTGTTTTTACCAGTGTGTGTTTATTTTCTCTTGTCAAAATTGTGTTTTTACCAGTGTGTGTTTATTTTTTTTGTCAAAATTGTGTTTTTACCGGTGTGTGTTTATTTTCTCTTGTCCAAATTGTGTTTTTACCAGTGTGTGTTTATTTTCTCTAACCTCTTTTAATAAAAAATATTTATTTTTCATTGCTTATTTTTTTGTCAAAATTGTGCTTTTACCAGTGTGTGTTTATTTTTTTATTTAGATGAACTTGATCGAAAGACTTAATAATATGAGAGGGATAGAGTACAATCCAGCTGAGCCGGGGTTATTTATTAGAAGAAATCGCTGGGACCAAGGACCAGAAGCTATTCCCCAGCAAGCAATACAGGAAAATATTCCTATCACTTATGAGGAAAATAATAATATTACAAATCAGGCTCCATGGATTCGCACAAGAACTCGTCCACGAATCATATCATCAGCACGTGTAGAACCAGTAGAGCAACAACTACAACCGGAACCAGCTCAACCAGTGCCTGCACCACGAGAAGTTCAACTTGTTCCGGTTGTAGTTGAACCAATACCAGCACCGCGTGTTCTCCCAGTGCCTGCACCAGTAGAGCAACAACTACAACCGGAACCAGCTCAACCAGTGCCTGCACCACGAGAAGTTCAACTTGTTCCGGTTGTAGTTGAACCAATACCAGCACCGCGTGTTCTCCCAGTGCCTGCACCAGTAGAGCAACAACTACAACCGGAACCAGCTCAACCAGTGCCTGCACCACGAGAAGTTCAACTTGTTCCGGTTGTAGTTGAACCAATACCAGCACCGCGTGTTCTCCCAGTGCCTGCACCAGTAGAGCAACAACTACAACTGGAACAAGCTCAACCATTGCCTGCACCAGTAGAGCAACAACTACTACCGGAACAAGCTCAACCAATACCAGCACCGCGTGCCCCCCCAGTGCCTGCATTAAGGCAAGGATTAAGACGATTACCACGACAAGGTAGATTAATAGGACCGCGACAAGTTGTTGAACCTGTGAATATGCTAGAACAAGCTCAACCAATACCAGCACCGCGTGTCCCCCCCAGTGCCTGCACCACGACGTGCTATTGAAATACCCGCTCGTCATCTCCGAGGAACAACCCGCCAACGATTATGTAAGGCTATGAGGGTCTTTGCAACAGCGTCCTCTAAGAAAAGACGCTAGTTTACTCTTTTTTATTTCGCTGCATTCTAACTTTGCTTCTTTTCCTTATTTTATATTTTTATATTTTTTTAATTTCTAACGTTTGATATAAAGTTTCCACTATTTCAGTTTAATCTTTTTTACTGCATGCAAACTTTGCTATTTTCTTTTTTTTATATTTTTTAATTTCTAACGTTTGATATAAAGTTTCCACTATTTCAGTTTACTCTTTTTTTACTGCATGCAAACTTTGCTATTTTCTTTATTTTATGTTCTTTTAAAATAATATCAAATGTTTGATATAAAGTGTACATTATTTCAGTGTACTCCATTTTTTTATTTACTGCATACTAACTTTGATATTTTCTTTATTTTATATTCTTTTAAAAGAATCTCTAACATTTGATATTAATTTAACATTATTTTAGTTTTAATTATTATTTCAATTATTTTCATATGAATGTGTTTTTTTATGTTTATTTAGTTCTTCATTTTCTTCTGTTTTCTACACGTTTAGTTTTTTAGCTTCTTTTCCAAAATTTACATATGAAAAAAAATGTGTTTTTTAGTTAATGTCTTGTATATATGTAAATTTGTAAGTTGCTTTTAAATAATAATACATTTAATTATTTTTTTCTAATTTACTGTGTTAAATTTTATTTTGCATGCTTTATAGTTTACTTTTCATGCATCCTTTATAGTTTACTTTTCATGCACCTTTATAATAGTTGTTACAATACACTTTATAATAATCAGTTTAACATTGATACAACTATAATAATTTAATCGCGAATTTACGATGGCAATATTTTATGTATTTTAAGTTTTGCTTGCTGTTAATTATGATTTAACTCTAACTTAATTCTAACGTATGACTAATGAAGGTATTTAATTAAATACAGTATTAATAACAGTTCATACATTTATTATATTCAATATACAATATTTACACTTGTTTAATTTTAAATTCAATATGGTTGTATGGACCACCAATATACTTCAGCCGCAATTGTCCAGAACTAATAGCTTCTTGCATCTGATCCAAGCATATAGAGTCATCAGTGAACATTGGTACAAATCTTGAAGGTAGGAATGTATTGAACTTTTTATCCACCTCAACGACGACCTTGACTCCATACCTGGTGTTGACAACCTGGATCTTCGTTATAGGATACTTATGACCAGGAGTCAGCTCGGATAGCGGCTTCGTAGGTAGGAAAGCATCCATGCGACCAATGGCGTTGATTTTGGTTAGATCCATCTTTTCTTAGAGATAATACTTTGTGAAGTTACAAAACATAATGAGCTTTACAGCTCAAGGTGCCTCTATTTATACCCAAATATCACGCATTACCCCCACCATTAATTCTGCACATGCGCATTACCCCCACCACTAATTCTACACATGCGCAATAGCGTTTTATGTTTGTAAAATACCCCCACTTTTTATTATTGAGCCACGCCCACTTTGTGACGTCATAAGACAAGTCTAGACTAGTTTTAACATGTTTAATAGTTTTACACATGTGTAATAAAGATAATAGGATAGGGAAAGGTTAATTAAAATAAACATTAATAGACATTTAATACATTTATTCATTATATAGAAAATTTTCACAATCATTATAAAAATCTTTCAATGTACAATCATTGTCAACTTCATCATTATTTTCTATATTATTTCGTAGTACATTCGATGGTTGTATCAACCAATTTCGTAGATTACATACATTTTTAACAGCGCAATTGCTAAAGCTACGTGTGTGATTTGTACATGTAGATGAACTGTCTACACTTAAACTTTTTAGCGACGGACATTTAAAATCATCTAAATTAAACACATTTAATGTATATTTTTCTAACCATTTTTGTTTTTCTAAACCTTTTACATAAACAGTAGGTGTACCTATTAATACTTCTTTTATTATAGGTTGTAATTCTTCATAACATACGTCACCAGCAGCCCAATCGATACCATGATAATTATTTGTAAGCCATCGATTCTCACATTTGTATCTTGCAGGCAATCGACTCCAGGCATATGGCGGCTCGAAGAGGTAGACCAATGGATGAGCATCTTGTTGAAGTGGTAGAATCGCCAACTCTTTGATGACAAACTCGTTGTATGGTCTCTTGAAGCACTGAATATCTACGACGTACGCCATGGTATCTGAAATAGAATAATGGCTCAAGCCTTAGAGAGACGCTCTCTTTATAGCCTTTCCCCCACCACTCCAATTACCCCCACTACCGATGTCATCTATGATTGGTCATTATTTCCACCAATCACGTTACTTTTTTAACAACGCCGCTGATTGGTGTATACTGTATAATGCGGTCGTGAATTATAAGGCAATATGCAGCTGTATTGGCTGGAAAATTTTCACTTGCTTCAAATTCCAATCGCACATCTACAGATGTTTGTTTTAGAAATTCGTTTTGTTTTGAGCAATCAATAACAGCCAATGGTGCATAATCTTTAAAGTTATTTCTAGTTAATAAAGGTTCAGATTCTTTTCCATAGTAGGACGGTTGAAAATTACAATACATTTCATATAATATGGAAAATTTGTTTTGAGTAAAATTTAAATTTAAATTTCCATAAGGATAGTACTGTGAGTTTAAGAAAAGTTTAACATTGAGAAGATTGCAGGTATCAAATAAATTTGCATACCTTTCTTGATCTTCTTTTCGATTTGTTTGAAAACCAAGAATAACATATCGAGGTTTTTCAACTTGTGTTGAAGTTTTTACAGTCCACACATGCTTTTGAGTGGCAGGAATCATAGGATATTCATACAAATCCCATGATCTAAAACTCATTGTTATAAGTAAGTCTTTTTCAATGAATTTCAATAATTCAATTTTTTGTCGATCATTTACCATTAAATATGGAATCAACCATTCAACTTTATTAATAATAATTTTAAATTCTTCACGCTCTGCTGCTTCAATGTTTACTACAGCATTTAGATCAGTACGAGATCTTGTTAAAATAAGTTCATGTTTTGCATTTACAACAATCTTTCGATAGTCTTCAGCAAAACCAATAATCATACTTAGTGGAATATTTACATCAAAATATCCAGCATCATTTGTTACTCTGCTATCATCATCATCATAAGGTAGATAACCAGCATTTTCAGAGTAAATCATTTGATTAGGTGTTTGAGAAATTATATTTTTCATTGTGGTTGTAATACCAACATTTTTGGAGCGATCAATTTCAACACCATTTAATTCATAACGAATCTCATTAAACAGGTAGGAAATACCATTGCTAATTAACTTTGTATTAGTTACAAGCGTATTGTTAGGCTTAACAATTCTTCCAGTGACGTGTAGAGTACTTTTAGAGGGAAGAATGTACAAGTCTTGATGTTGAACTGCAATTCGAATCTCGTCACTGTTATTAAATGCTGATGACACGTATGGTTGATGTGCATGAATCTCATAGTGTGCCACAGAATTATCAAATTTTACTGGACTTAGAATGTTTAAAATCTCTTCCATTTTTGTTACAACAACAAATAAAAAGTATGTGAAAAATTAATTTTTTCCCTTGTTTTCTTGATAAACTCTTAGGCCGAGCTGCTTCAGAAATAGTATGTTCTGAGATGTTAGTCTCTTGCGAACTGATTGAGGAATGAATGACTTCTGACATGGTAACTCATTTATATAGCTTCCACCAGTTTTTCTATGAAATACAATTCCCATTACGTTGATTTAACGTGTAATCGAATTGTTATAGTTTCACCTCTAAAATTTATTAAATCTCCGTCTTGATCAACGATTCTTACTTGAATATTATGTATTGTCTTCACGGCGATTGGAAGGTAAATGACGTGAGATGGAACTTCCACAATCTTATATCCAGCTGGTACAATTGGAAAAAATTCGTGAATTGTGTGTACTTTTTTATTATTTATGTATGCACCAGTAGTAATGTTACATTCAATTCTGATAGCATTTACCTTAAGAATGGCTACTGGTACATCTGACGTATGAGCCTTATTAGCTGTCAATATTCGTGGAGTAAATCCTAATAATTTACCAATTGAATCGTTTTGTTCAAAACTCACTTCAAGGCTGCTTGCTATTTCACTACGTAAAGTATTATTGTTAGGTTTGATTCTTACAATTTCAGATCCATTTTCAATAGAGTTTTGAATATATTTTTCAATATCTTCAATTTCATAGCTTCCAGGGGGTATAGTAATCACTTTATCACCAATATAAAATTTATTTTTACCTTGATCAATATTAGGAATTGAATTGAAGGTTAGTAATTCAACTAAGCCAAGTACATAATTTTTGTTAGGTAATAATTCTATCGGAGGAAAATATTCTGCCTCCAGGACAGATGAATTGCCTGAGATAGTCAGAGTAAAAGATTCTTCCATGTTGATGACTTTTTATAAACTGATTAGGTGGAATGACTTACAATCACTTATATAGAATATATTTTTGAGTTATTTCAAGCTGTCCACATAAGAATTTTAGACATAAATGACCACAATTAAAACTATTATAATCTTGATAATTTTGATGATTATACTGTATTAAAGTATTGTAACCTAAGTAATTGACAAGTTCATAGGGTGGTTGAAGATTTCCAAAACTATCAAAGTATACTGCTTTATTATTAACTTTTTTATATGCAACCCAATGAGTTCCAGAACCATCTTTATCATCTAAATTAATAATGGCGGATTCATTTTTTCGAGGACCACTTATAGGTAGTTCATTTCGCATATAAACTCCTCGAAAATGGGAAATTTTCATTTCTTTAGCATATTTAAGTAAATCTAGATCTTTAAGTGCTCGTTGAGGTAGCTTTAAACTTTTTTTTTTATACATCGCCTCTTAATACCTTGTCCTTTAACGTATGGTTTCAAATGAAGTCCCAACCCTTGTCGGTATGGTTTTGAATGTAGACCTTTGCCAAGTGCCACTGCTTCCAACTCTCTATTATGACGCTGAGCTTCCTTCAACTGCTCTTTTGCTGCACTTGCATCATTAACAGCTTTTGCTACACCAGCAGCTCCCCCAGTAAGCGCTCCAAGTGCACTTAGACCAGCAAAAATTGGAATTATTGGTAACAGACCACCAACTTTTGATGGAACAGGTAGAATTCGAGGTGTTAAAACCTTTTCTCTACCACCTGCTTTCCTTACAGCTTTTCGAGCTGTTTCAATAGCTGACTTTATTGTTGATCGAGCA